TATGAAAATAACAAATATTAACAAAAAATTTTATTTTAAAAAAAATACATTTCTCAATTTCGTAACGTTTGTGTTCAAGAATATCGTTAAATGAATAATTTAGTGATATTTGTATTATAAAACGTCAATAAAAGTAGCAGTGCTTTTGCTAGTAAACGAGCTAAATTAGCGGCGTTTTTGTGATACAAACGTCACCAAAAGTAATGGCATTTTTTTGATAAAAATACTACTAAATTAACGGTGTGTCAAAAGTACAAATGCCGTTAATATAACGATATTTTTCATATACAAATGCCACTAATATAGTGGCATTTTATAGAAAATGCCATTATTTTTCGCGACGTGTGTATAGCTGGTACTCTGACTAGTAGTTTTTACAAATGCCATAAATCTTTTAATGGTATTTATAAACATCGCTAAACGTAAAAGAAAAAAGATCACTAAAAATCAAAACCCCTGTAATACTTAAATAATTTGTCAATGCACCACAATAAGCTCCTTAAACAAGCCATCAAAAAGCTAAGACATGATCACCCCAATGTTATATTAGTATATGGTGACTACGACAGTGCTTTCCTGCAACTTTTGCGCAAAGCTAATATGCTAGGTGAGTTTTCCCTTTTTTTTGTTCCACGTGCATGAACATTTGAGAATTTTATTGAATAATAGTTTGATGATACTCTTATTCCAAATGCGAACAGGTTTTGACACCACATCAACACAAAAAGCTTGCTGTGGAATTGGAAGTGATTACAATTTCAGCCTTGCCAGAATGTGTGGAGCTCCCGGTGTACCGGTGTGCTCAAATCCTAATCAATATCTGAGCTTGGACGGAGTTCATGGCAGGATGGCTCATTCGTCACATCTATCAAGAACTCCGGTGCAGTGCTTGATTTGGTTCTGTTTTGCTAGTTATATAGTTCACATATTCTGCCAATTTTCCAAATTTCTAGTAGGATGAATGCTAGATTTGTCTTTGTCAATATTACCCAATGTCATTTTATTAATTTTTTTTCCCTGTGAGTGGTTTCTACGAGAAATAGTAGTAATAAGAACAAGAATGCCAAATTTGTCAATAAAACAACTTTTCTGATGAACATTAATTTCTTTGTTATTCATTTATAATTGGATAGAACAGTGTAGGAAACCCAAATTAGTTATCCATCCATATGATACAACGGAGGCTTTTTCCCTCAAGCAGTAAATCAAAAGCTTTGTTGATAGCCTGGAAACTCACTTCATGTGATATGAATCCGTCGAGATTAAGCTCCTGTGATATATATAGAAACACGATTAACAGCTGTTTGTCCAGTTATTTACAAACACAGCAAGAAATTGAAAGACAAAATCTAGATTTTAACCTTGTCTAGATATTTTTCAGCAAGGAAGGGAATGTCAGATTTGGGTTTAAATCCTCCAAATAAACACCCTGTAACACTTTTGCCTCTCAGAAGAACATATGTGTTAAGAGCCAACGGTGAGCCATGCATTTCCACTCCCAATATCACTGTCTTGCCCCAGCCCTTATTTTCGCCAAACCAACCATGAAAAATCAGCTTTTGAAGAAATCAGGAAGATATTTGACTTAACATTAAGAGTACCTCTCTGGCACTATTGAAGGCATCTTCCATCAGTGAAGCCAACCCAATGCACTCAAAGCAATAGTCAGCTCCCCCATCTGTTATTTCCTTAATCACCTGACCATGTGGAGCAATCTAAGCATTTAAGAACATTCATTTTTTTATTGAATTTAAGTGTTAGGTATTTGGAAGCCAGCAAGTATGATTTGTGGTTGGTGGAGAAAAGGAATTCTCATTCAAGTGTTTGGTAATGTAATACCGTTGCCAATTAATTCATTCTTGTTTGTACTATTAACAAAGTACAACAAAGTTCTATTTTTTGGGTACAATATAGTTTGGCCATCAAGTAAAAAAGTGGTTCGGTGATTAACTAACCTCGCTGACTTTTTTCCCTCCACAGGTTTTGGGGTTGATAAAATCAGTGACGCCAAATTTTTTCCCTGTCACAGAAAATTTTTTATGCCGGAGAAAAGTGACAATTATTTGAACTTAGGTCGTATTTAATGCATAAAATTATCGATAAAATAAAATAATAATAATTATATATTACATTTGATTTATATTTAAAAAAAGAGATAAGAATTAAAAAAAAAATTAATATATTTTGATATAAGATTATTCAATCCTTTCTATTTAGAGAGGAATATTTTTAATTTATAGAATTAAACTTATATATTTAATTATATTTTTAAAAATTACATCGATAATTTAAATTGTATAAACTTTTAAAAAAATTTGACAAATAAATAAATTATCTTATCATAATTTATATATATATTAAATATAAAATAAGATAATATTATTTAATTTAATCATATTCATAATATTATCTTATCATATTTTATAATAATTTTGTATATCTAACATGATCTTAAATTAGTAAATAAAAATAAGTACTATATGATGAATAAATTACTTAACTACCAATCTCAAATTTTTCCGGATTCAAATCTACACCTATGATCTTCGAAGCTCCACGTAACCTTGCTCCCTCTGCAACCTAATAAATGCATAAGTTAGTGAGTGATTTAGTGTTGCACATTGACATAAATCAAAGGAATATAGTTTCTTGGTGGCATTTTCTCAAGGAAATTTGATAGCATGGAAATAAGCAGAGCATGGTTTGGGAAGGGATTGAACAGGAAGAGTGGCTTGCAGCTTATAGTGTATTTGGATTTGTACGAGTACCGCAAGTCCAACAGCTCCCAGCCCAAAGATGGCAACTGTAGAGCCCTCTTCAACATCTGCCACCTTCCATGCTGCTCCTACCCCTGCCACCACAGTATGATCAAACGAGAAAACGGAATCAGACGTTTTTGCCAACATCAATTATTAGTATTAACTGTTCCTGAAGAGACCCTTTTTTTGGCAGATGTGTCCTTTTTCATTCTACTTGTGAAGGGAAGAGTGGGCTTATCATTGGCCACTAGCCAGCAATATCAAACTAGTGCATCTCTTTATCAAAAAAAATTTAAAAAAAAAAACTTGTGGCTCCCTTAATCTTTTCTTTCTTCATTCTGGAGAGAAAAACTTTGTCTGAAATTTGACAGGTTGCTGCCAATATGGGGCAGGCAGTAAAGGAAAATTGTTTGTTTTCATGTCATTGATTTTTTTTTTCCTCTGTTAACTTACCGGTTGATACTCCACAGCTAAGCAAGCAAGCTTTATCAACTGGAATTTCCGATGAGATCTTGACAACATGAGCCACATCAACCACTGTATACTCAGTGAAGCTCGAAACAAACAAGAAATGGTGCAAAACCTCCCCATTCATCCCCTTAAATCTACTTGTCGCATCCCTTGGCATGTCAGGGTTCAATGTTTTACCAAATACGGAGCAATCATTGCCCTTTTGAGACTTGCAGTCCCTGCATTCTCTGCAATTCGGATGAAACACTGGAAGCACCAAATCTCCTTCCTGCACTTCTTCCACATGCTCCCCTATACTCTCAACAATACTTAAACCCCACCAAAAAGAGAATCATGATCACATCCTTAACATTAAAAAATGGAAATATTTTGCAATGATTTGATTCAGACCAAGAGCATGTACTAGGGTCTAGTTGAATTACCCGACAGCTTCATGCCCAAAAATTCTTGGAAAAACCGCAAATGGTCCCTGGAGGAAACCAATGTGGTAATCTTTTTTGCCTAACATATAGAGAAAAATGAAAGTTCTGAATAAAAAAGGAGAGGAGAATTACAGTGGAGGCTTTCCAGAAGGTAATATCGGTATGGCAAAGAGTACTGCAGAGAATCTTTATCCGGACCTCCCAAGCTTTGGGTGGCTCAACTTCAATTTCCTCTATCACGAGTGGTGCTCCTGGATTTCTGCTTACTGCAGCTGTTTATATCATGAAAACATTAAAAAAAAACACAAAAATGAGACAAGACAAAGAAAAAACAGAGAATCCATTCAATAAAAGACCAGTAAACTAAAAGGTCTACAATCATGAACAGTATTTAAAGGAGAATGACAGAAGAACCTTTGCATCTTATTGCTTTTCCTGCAGTTACCGACCCGTTTTGATTTTCCATAACTTCTTCTTGAACCAAGATCAAGAGAGGTAAGGATTTTCTTGGGCTTATCTACTCTTCTCCTTTGCTGCAATCCGCCGTTAGTGCATACTGTATTTATAATAATAATAATACTAATAGTATGTGAGAAACTGACCATTTTTTGTGGTTAAAATTTTGTTCCATATCTTCTGCAAATTTCACTGAGACATGAGAAGAGGTGGTTGGTTGGCCCATCGTTGTCCAATTCCTACTTCTACTATCCACTTAAAAAGGCCAAACAACAAGAAAGTATTAAAAATATTGCTGCAGAACTTTCCCTTTTGATTCTTCTTTACCTGATAGCTGTAATGCTATATACTTATTTCTATAATGATATAATTACCCATGATTTTACTTTGAGAGCTAGTGCTAGACGTGGAAAATGTCTTTGCCTTCTCATCAGCTCCATATTATATCACTTTACAGCATTTGGTTGCCCGTGAATTGTTAGTAGTTGAGCATCAAATGGCTCACATGGGAGCCGTTTAGTGCTAAATTAATAACTTTAGTAATCAGATTCAATTAATAGAAACTTCATATATATATATATATATATATATATATATGTGTGTGTGTGTATATATATATATATATACACACATATATATATATATTATTATCAAGGACATTTAAGAGTAGGTGATAATGCGCTGACGCTCTGCATTTTCAGCATATTATCAGCTTTAAGTGCCAATAATTTATCAAAAATAAATCATGAATTAGAAGTAAACTGTCCCAAAGAAAATAATTAGAGGCTGACTATTTCAAGGGGGGGGGGGAGATTGTCGTTTTTCTTATGAATTTGGTTAGGAAAGGCAAAGCAACACTAATCATCATCATAAGAATCTTAAGAATATACAAATCAGTCTAATCATGTCATCGATTTCTTAAATAAAAGTCACTTTCAAGTTTCATCACATTGGTTAGTAAGAGAAGGTCGTCTATCATTTTCATGGTGTGAAGAACATAGGCACCACCATTTTTTCTTCTGCTGCATTTGCAAGGAACAAACCCACACGTTTTTACCAAAGTAATTGACTTGCGCTCTATTCTCAACGGAATCTGTAAAATTTCCCCATCAAGCTCTGATCAAATTCCTCGATTTTTATTGGTTTTCATGAATCATTACAGTAGATGTTGCATAACTTCGTATGCTATTTCTCTCTTCTTTCAATCAGACTCTTCATTTCATCAGACTGTTTCTTGTTCTTGGACACCAAATAACTTGCTCACAAAAATGAAGTAGAAAAAAACTTCATTCTCAAAAACTAAAGGATGCTAATAAAATACTGATTAACGTAGGAAATCAACACAAATTATGCTGGCTATGATTGTCAGCCTGAGCTCAGCTAACAACAATTTCAGATTTTCAGGCTTGGGGATTCTGGGCCTTGGAAGTCATGTTAGGGCCACGATGCTTCTTGTTGAATGTTGGTTTTAGGTCTGGTCTTGCCCCAGTTTGCTGGAGGGAAGGCCGGGAGGGACCTGATGCTTTCTGCATCAATCAAAATCCATATCAATGTTTGGTTGGCTATTTCGTCCACAACAATCCATCTATCATTGAACCAGCTATTAATCAAATGGGGCTTCCCATGGCCTACATCAACTACTCAAGTATATTATTTTTAATATTATTGGGAAATCGGAATGATTATCCTAAGCTAATTTAGCATTATTATTGCACTTAGAATAAATATGTTTAAAAAGTGTGATTTAAAATTTGAATTTTAGTATTGCTATGAAAAAGTGTCGTAAGTGAAATATCTAAAAATTTATATATAAAATAATTAAATATTAAAAATATAAGGTAATACAATGACTTTCTATCTCAAAAATATTTTTTGAATAGTTTTTTGTTTAGATTGCAAAATGTAAACTTTTAAATTGAAAAATCATATTTATTATTAAGTCAAAATAAATTTTGAACATAATGAAAATTTTGAATTTAATCTTTTAACTTTGTACATGAGAATTTTTTTTTCATTTTTTACAAAAAAATGAAAAGTTCTTTAATTACACATGAAACTAATAATTTAAAAGGTAAAATCATAGAACTTAGAATTTAATTTAATCAATTTATGAAATCATTCTTAAAAATTAGTATTCACTAAATTTGGTGTTTGAATTCTAACACTTATAATTTTTTCTTTATCCTCAAACTTCAATCTCATATGTAAAAATAAAATTAAAAAAAAAAAAGGTAAAATCATAAATGTAAAATCATCTATTAATTTATAGAGAAGATAAATAAGATACTTGTCTTTATTTAGATTTTACTTATTGTTACTGTTTGCAATGCTATCTTATAACTTGTAACACTGATTCAGCTGTTAGTATTGCATAGTCGATCCACAATAACTACTAATATTATGTGTTTTGCAAGAATACATATGCATATTTACTCAAGTGAGACCATACGTAGAAACATCATTTTTTTCGTATTTTTTTAAATAATGAATTAGTAAATTTCATGAAATTGTTTGTTTGTAATTTTTTTATTGTGTTAAATAAATATATATTTTTTAATTCAATTAATTTATATAATCATTTTAAAAATGCCACATTTAATAAGTTTATAGTTTAAATTTTAATATTTACAATATATTCTCTTATTCCTTAAAATCATGTTTGATGCATAAGATTATTGATAGGATATAATAATAATTATTTTATATCATTTTTAATTTGTATTTAACGAGAAGAATAGAAATTGCAAAGAGAATTAATATCTTTTTGGTATAAGTTATTCAATCCTCCATATTATAAGGAGAATTAATATCCTTTTTGTATAGGTTATTCAATCTCAGGGTTAGCATCAAGTTGGGTTAGAGGGTTTTGTTCATTCCAAACCCGACTCGAAACTCGATATTTGCATAAACAATAATTGACCCGACCTGAATTAATAAAATATTATTTTTTAAATATAATTATATAATTATATATAAATAAATAATTAAAAAATAAATTTTAATATAGTATTGGGTCGGGTTCGAGTTTTACAGTCGGGTCGAATTTGTCTAAAACTTGAACCCGACCCGACCCGAAACCGTATTAAAAAAAAAATTGACCCTATGAAATCGAGTGGAGTTAAAATCCGTTGGACTCGGATTGGGCTGTCAATCCTATTTAATCATCTCTAAGTGGATATGATTATTTTTAATCTGAAATTAAATTTACGTGTCTAATTATACTTTTAAAAATTATATTAATAATTTAAATTGTGTAAATTTTGAAAAAAAATAATTTAAATAAATAAATTATCATATTATAATTTTTGCATACATCAAACATAAAATGATATTATTTACTTTAATATTATTTATAATATTATTTTATCCTATTATACCATAATCTTAAATATAAAAAACGATACATCTTCTTTTATAAGTAAATAAATATGTATTTCTTCTACAAACGTGAAATAATTTGGAAGTTACAATTAATCCATCATAAAAATGATATTCTTTTGCGCTAATAATTCTTTCCAACCATCTTATCTGACAATAATAATTGGCGAGACATGAAATCTAACATTATATCTGATATCTTAAGTCTCCAGCAAAGTAATGGCATTTTTCTTAATATTTTGCATTAATTGTTGTAAACAATATATATATATATATATGAAGGTCATACATAAAATGATAATATGATAGGATATGATGATATTATAAATAATATTAGATTAAATAATGTTATATTATCTTATATTTTATATGTATAAGAATTAAAATAAAATAATTTATTTATTAGTCAAAATTATATTTCTTCATAGTTAACATAATTTAAATTATTGATATAATTTTTAAGAATATAATAAGATATATAAATTTAATCCTATAAATTAAAATTAATATTTTTTCAGTTTTTAATGATTAAATATTTTATATCAAAAGATAATAATTATCCTTATAATTCAATATTTTTTAATAATATAAAATAATTATCATATTATTCTGTCAATTATCTTATATACAAAACATAACTTAAATATTTTAATAAATAATCGTGTCTCATTGCCATTTTGGAATCATTTAACAGCTTCCAAATAGAGAAAATTCAAGAATCGTGTATGATATATATATATATATATATATAAAGAAAAACAAACATGTGAAAATATGCTGTTAAATAAGGATAATCCCATGAAATGCAAACATTTGAATAGTTCATCATCCGTTTGTCGTTATACTTTTTCCGAAACATGATATACATTTCAATAACATGGGATTTTGTATAGAATTATTATTATTATCATGCGTACTTTTTTGAGATCTGAAATCAATCATCACTCAATATACAACACCGGTAGTTGTAAGACAACTCAAAGCGTGGGTGGGTTTGGTGCACGTCTTTTTTCTTTCAAAGTTCAGCTATATTGAGGCCCAGCGCAAGAGACAATATGACCCAACAGCGACCCATGAAGAGATTACTTATATACAACAATTGAAAAAATTACATCATATAATCGTGAGTGAAGGTTTTTTTTTTTTTAAACTAACATAATATATTTAAAATATTTATAAAATAAAAATATGTGATAAAAATAAGGAACATGTAACAAAATTTTAACCCATTTGTAAAATTTTAGATCTCTATATGGATGCATTTTTTCTGACTTCAATTGGAATGGAGTTATTTGAAATTTGAGTTGATAGAGCTCGTCAGATTTGTCGAGTTATGGAGGAGTCAAAAGTTAGTATTCTAGTCAGACTCCAACGCTTAAATCATTGAAGTGTTTGGTGTAGTAAGAAGAAGTATATGAAAAAATAAAACAAAAGAATATCGAGAATGAAGAGAGTGTTGCATATTTTGATCATATTTTTTTATATTTTATAAATAATGATGTGATTGAAAATATAGATAATTATTTATTTTAAAATTATTTTTTATTAAAAACAAAACATTTTTTTAATTCAAAATTGATTGGTCTAAGTTAATACGAAATCCCATAAATCACATGCACGTACTTAAATTTTTTTATGTGTAAAATTTGTCTAATGTGAGACATGAGTCTTATTTACCTGAGGCGCTTAGATACCATTTTAATGAATCCATTATTAATAATTCGATAAGGAAAAAAAAAAAAAAAACATTTTTACATTTTTAATTTAAAGATAAAATATATTATTAAGTCAAAATTAATTACTTTAAATTAATGTAAAATATCATACAAATCACACACATAAACTTCCTTACGTGATAGCGTCATTTTAAGATAAAAGGATGAATGTTGATAACGTGGCAACTACGATACAAGGTGATATAACAGCCAAAGGTGTAATGTTACGGTCGAGACTTAAATTTTAAATTCGTGCGATTTTAAAATTCGAATATTCATTTTTTTGATGTTTTAAATTAGTTTGATCATCACGATTCACATCCTTATGAGATATTATTCGTTTTGATTTTTTTGATCTCATAATTTTATTTTTTAAAACGCGTCTCACAAGATGAAAATGATGTAAACCTTTATATATTTTAATAATTTTTTTATTATATTCAATGTAAGATTCATGATTTTCTTTTAAATCCGTTATAATAACACTCTATTAATTATATAGGAAATAATTGTAATCAAAATAAATATGAACCTACCGAAAGCAGAAAACGACTGTTCAACTTGGAACAGGAATGGGCGAACAAGTTAAACAACCGGTCAAAGATTCAAAGCTAAGAAAACAGAACATGACATGTGAATTTTTGTATACTTTTATTTATTTATTTTAACTAAGTTTCAATCTTCTTTGTCCTGATAGTGATTAGGTCCACATAACTCCTCTCACAAACAGACAAAATTATATGTTGCTATCTGGTTGAGATTTGAGAAGCCACTCCTGTTGATAATATAAAACATATTGTTATTTTAATAGTATTAAACATTTAAACGCAAAGAATTTATAAATAAAAAACATAGATTCATTTTATTATTAATATTTTTGACTTTTTTTTCCAAAAGCAAAACATATAAAAAAAAAAAAAAGCAAAATCGTACATGTTTGCCTATTTTTTTGTACACGGAAACTATAGGAAAATTTTCAAATCAGTCATTCTTTATTTAAACTGACAGAGTCTTGGAAGGAATTTTCCTCCGTCAGTGGTAAGATAATTTTGAAAATTTGTATACTATTGTTGCTTTATTATCAGGTTTTTTGTTCATAGTTTAAAGGTGAAGAAGAATCAAAGTTTTATAGTAGACTTTTATTAATTCGTCACTAAAATATGTTTTTACTAGTATTCAAGGAATTTCACAATATATGTTTATCAACATTTATTCTATTACTTGATTTAATAATTAATACGTAATTTTTCATTTAAAAAAACAAGATTTGAATCATTATTTTCTCAATATGAAGAAAAAAGTTTTTACTATATCAATAAACGGCAGTGTTTATACCAAAATGTACCCACCAATAAAACAGTGAACATGTGGCAAATTTGAGATGAAGTGGCATTGAGACTGGCTTGACAAGTAATTGGCCAATTAGGCTGACGTGGTAATTTCATTTTCCAAGTCAAAAAACCGGTCGACTCTTTTTAAAGGGTGGAAATTATCAGGATTACACTTTGAAAACTTTGTTAGTTTAAAATTCCAAACTAGTACAACCGGTCAATTAGGTGTGGTCGAAGGTAGTTTCGACGAAATGTGACGGAGTGTCATAAAATTTAGTTGCAATTGAGATTGAAAAGTAAGTAAATAAGTTGGCTTCTCTAACGAAGGAAACCTAGTGAAAAATGCTTTTGAAATTTTGGGCGGAAAGACTGCATAGTGCTTCCTTACTACCCCGGGAATTGAAGCGGCGGCATCCTTTAATAAAACAAAATTTATTCAAAACGGAGAAAAGGTTGGCTGAGAGTATGGGCTTATGGCCTGCCTTCCCTCTCTAAAGTGTCCCGCATGATAATTGTTTCACAGATTCTTGTCTCCCTTTTCGTGCAAGTTGCTAGCTCTGTATGAAATAAGTGATCCTAACGGGCAAGGAATTTCTGATTGAGGATTGAATAGCTTTTGTTTTCTTAATTACAGTAGTTTTTTTTAAAAAACTGAAATAGTTACTTGCCCTCTCAGACCTGATAGGATTCTTCCAAGTTCCTTCCTTGCAAAACTCAATACTTCCCAATATCATGCAAGTTTGGTCATCATCTCCTTGATTTGTTCCAAAGCTAGTGGTCAATGAAATGCAATGCAAACCATTCAAAAATTTTCTCATCTCTTTGAAGGGGACCTCTCGAACACAAATTCTAAGGCTGATGCCTGGTTACTCTGAATCAGAGAAAAGAGATAAAGAAATCTCACACAGAAAAATGAGCAAGATTGAGCTGATCTGGGGTGGGCGGGCCGAGAAAAAGAACGAGAGAATGGGAGGGTGACTGGTTGAGAAGTGAGGCAGAGGCCGTACAACAAACCCTTTTTGCAGCCTTGTTTTTGCGTCAAAAGAAGAAGAGGTACAACAGGGAATAAGGGCCAAGTTGGATTGAAAATTGCGGTTCGTTCCACGTTCTTTCTCTTAACGGAACTTTGACCAGATTCCAAAGTTCCAAGAGCCAAAAAGATAAGAGCAATTATTTTCTTGGTTGGAAAAACCCAACACACATTAACCTCACAATTAAAGAGCTTTCAAACACCCAATAAAATTTAGTTACTGTTTGTTTTTTGGCCTCCAAATTAAGTAAGCATCTTCTTTCCTATCCATTATAACCAACAAAAAAAAAAGATAAGAGAGAAAAGATACCAGTCACCAGAAAGGCAGAAACCTACTGTCGTAAATAAGTCGTCGAAAACACAAAGATTTACAAGGTAATGACACTGTGATAGTGGTGCATAATGTATAATGCCATTTTGACTGCATGGTGGGTGACCCATGACTGATTACTGAGTTTAAAAATCGTACCCCAGGAACGCGACAAAGAACACGCACGCAATCACAATCTACTCAAACAAGACCCGTAAAAGAAGCCACGCAAACCCTGTCTCTAATCGTTACCATCTTATCTAATCTTTGCTGTTTTTTTTTTAATTTAAAAGCCTCGAAAAACCTAAAAATTTTAAAGCAAGAGAGATTAGACAGTGCCACAAAGGCAAAGAGCAGGGAGACAGGCAGATTCGGTCCTTTGCAACTTTTACTACTATTTTTTTCCCCTTTCTCTGTCTCTGTCTCTCTCTCTCTCTTCAAAGCAAAATGCTCAGTAATAAAAGTCTTTTAGACCCATCATCCTTTGGTCTGAAAAATAATTTTCTACTCGCATGAAGGAAAACCTCTTAGGCCTTAAAACACTCTCTCGCCCCATGTCCTTCTCTTTCTCTGGCTTTGTCCCTACTTGCCGACCCACTTAAGTCTGCCATAAAGAGGAAGATTTGCCCTCCACAAAAACAACCCAAAGCAATACCTGCTGCTTGTATCACAGATATTTAGTTTTTAGCTTACATAAACTAAGAGATCATTATAGATCTTGAGAGATAGAGAGTGAGTAGTAGCAGTGGGGGAAGGTCTGGGTTTTTTTTTGGTTAAAATGGATAAAAGCTGTCACTCTTCTGGCGACTCTACCACAAACTCCAGTAGCAGCAGTAGCTCCATCGCCAACAACATTAACAATCGAGATCATTACCTTAAACACCTCAACAAGCTTTCTCATAAGATTTCCAAACCCTCCTCCACCACCAACACCCCTCCTCTCATAAAAAAACCTTCCTTTGACCAGACCCAGAACCTCACCCAGGCGCTGCCACCTCCCCAACCTCAACCCTCCCAGCCTCAGCCTGAGAATCCTAACCAAAGCAGTCTCCAGGCTCAACAGCACCAGCCACCTGTTTACAATATCAACAAAAACGACTTCAGGGATGTCGTACAGAAGCTAACCGGTTCACCGGCTCACGAGCGGTTCTCTGCTCCGCCACCAATCCACCAACCCAAACCACAAAGCTCACGACTCCAGAGGATCCGACCTCCTCCATTGGCGCACGTTAGCAACCGTCCTCCCATGATTAATTGCGCTGTCCCCAACATGAATCCCCCCGGCTTCTCTCAACCTAACCATCCTATCAGTGGCCCCACTGATAATAGCTTCATTCAAAGGCCACCTGCTGTGGCGCCTCTTTCGCCACTTCCTCCATTTCCAGCTGTACACGCGGCGGCCGAATCGCCGGTCTCCGCCTATATGCGATGCTTCCAAAGCTCCATGTCGGCCACTGTTGATTCCAACCCAAAGCAATTCTCGGGATTCCCACCATTGGCCCCACTCGTTTCACCCCGTTGGAACAACTTAACCGCCCCACCGCAACAGCAACCACCACCGCTGCCGCCGCCGCAACAATCACAGCAGCAACAACAACAACAACCACCACAGGTATCATCTACGGGGATGATCCAGTCACAGTTTCCATCATCACCACTACCATTCGGTTGTCTGAATTCTCCACGGTCACCGTATGCTTTGCTTTCCCCAAGCTTGCTATTTTCTCCAAATTCGGGTCAGTTAGGATTCCCGCTTTCGCCAACGTTGCCCGTGCCGAGCCCAAAATGGCGAGGTCTTTGATAAATTTTAATTTCGGGTAAGTCTTCAAAAGGGGAAATTTTCTGATATTAGGGTTTTTGTAAATGGTTAGGGTTGGTGGGGAAATCTTATTCAATTACCAGAGGATGGATAAAGCAAAAAAAAAAAAAAAAAAAAACTGTTTCGCCCTGGTCAGTTAGTATTTAGAAGCTTTTTGCTTATTAGTTCATTTTTCTTTGTCATGTAAAACCAGAAACTCAAAATCATGTTCTTTTGTTTTTGTTGAAAATTGGGTTGAGAAAAAAAGTTATTTATTAGACATTAGTAGTATTATTAGTATCATAGATGAAGTATATTTATTTGTATGATATGTTCTTGCTATATCTGTGCTGTTTAGAAATTTCTTTTTTTATCTGCTAATCTTAGTTTAGCCATTTATGGGTATAAAACATTCATATTTTTGGGCAATAATAGGATAAGCTGTTGTGTCTGTTATTGATTGTCAGACATGAATTTATCATAGATTATCAAATAGGTTGGATCAGTTTTCTTTTTTTTTAATGAATTGTAAGGATTAAAACTTGGCCATCCATGATCCCAGCATATCAAATTCTGAATGGTTTGTTAAGTGGTTTATTTGATCACTACTAGGATTTATGACATCTACCCAATCTCTTTTTGCAGGAAGAAATTGAAATTAGAAACATGTTCCTCAGTAATAAGATCTGTAGCAGGTGTTTGATATTGTAACCAAAGTTTGCAATATCTACCAGCTTCCTTAGAATATAGCTGAAGAGATGTCTTCTAGCTAATGAGCTTATATTGTGTAGAAGCTATCTTTAAATTTAAAGCTATTCTCTTGTTTCTTTTCTTTTTACTAGATTGTTTAACTGCTCTTGGAGTAGTGGAGGACATTGAATTGACCTCTTCTACAAATAGATAGGGGAAAAAATTGTATGGTATTAGCAGTAATAGGAATAGTAAATACTAACGGTATCCAACTTGTATTGGGTTCAACAGGTTAAGTACGGTATCCAACTTGTGTTTGGAGTTTAAAGTTTATTTATTGTCTGCAACCCCTTTCAATTCTTAAATTGCGGCTTCTTTTGTATAAAAAATACTAATGGCGTCAAAAAAATTCAAAACTTCATTAATGCCTCCATTAAAGCTAGGTTTTTAAGAAATGAATACACTTCTTTAGGAACTCCTAGGAGAAGAATTAATACTACTTTTGTGGTTTAATCTTGCCTACTATAAGTCACAAGAATTTTCAACAGATGTTTGGGATTTTTCCTTATTCAAAGTTGCAAGTGACTTTAGCTTGAATATGAATAGTACCTAGGAAGCAATTATCGATGGTTGTACTTTTGTAGTTTTCTCTGGCCTGAACTTTGACTAAAATAATTTGCTTTCTTGGATTATGCATGTGTGTACATATAAAATGCTTACAGGTTAGTGATTGCATGTTTTCTACCCCACCTTCTGCATCACGCATTTAATTTGGAATCTTTGAAATAATAGCATTTCATTTATCAAAATTGAAGGAGAAAGAACCTGCTGAACTTTGACTGTGTATTTATATATATACATATATATGATTTGGAGAGGGAAGAAAGCTGTAGTCACTAAAATAGTTGACTTTGTTTATGAATGAAAGTGGATTTTGGACCAATTGATTCTTCCTGTTAGTCTGAAGACTTTTCTTGGAGTTGAGGCTGCTCTAACTAAGGCTAAAAGCCTTGTCTACTGTGGGTTGTATTGCTGACCTTTCAAAAAGTGGTTTTGGTGTTGGATATGGTTTTTTACATTTCTCTTTTAGCCTCTTGATTGGTGAATTCTGAGGCGAGCAAGGCACTTCGTATCATTTCCTCTTAGTCCATACCTGTCAGTTGATGGAAAGTGTTTAGAATATTAATTTACCTTTCTAGTCGTATTTTCTTTTGCAAGTGGTTTGAATTATCGCAAGCTTCTTGCTTGCATTCATTTCTTGTCAAGCTTACTGGTTCTTTAATTAGCTTACGAACAGCGAATTCGTTTACTGCTTTACTTCACGGTGGAGTGCTACAGGCTGTAACATTAACCGTTGCGTTTAAACACTCGTACCGTTAAAATAGCCAAGTCATCTAACATTTTAAACGCCAAACTGGAAACTTCTAATAGCCAGTTTCTATTTCTCAAGTTGTTTTTTATTTTTTATTTTACCCATCTTCCATAATCAGTACCAGGCAATGGAAGCATAAATTGTTTGGCTTAAGAGAAAGTGTCAACCACCCATTAATGCAACTCTTTACCTTCTAGTTTTGTCTCAAAAGCTTTTTTCAACCTGCGAGCGCTCAACCGAAATCCATCTGTTTTATGTTCTTATTTTTTTTTGGGTTCTTGGTTGTTGTTGAGATAAGAGCTTGGGGATGAAGTCTTACCGGATGAATCTAAATCTCTTGAAACCAGTGAACGAAGAAGGTTGATATCTGGGAACTATGAAAGCATTGCCTCTCAATCTTCTGTTAGCTTTGATACAAGTAGTTTTCCGTCTCTTTGAGCTTCCTTTTTGAATAACTAGTTGATGTCTCTCATTCCGCCGAGGAATTTTATTTGTATTGATATTAATATAATCATATTTTATTAATTAAAAAATTAAATATATAAAAAACAATTATTTATAAATTATACAATACAAATGCATTGGTTTGAAAATAAATATAAATTATTATTATTATTAATTAAATTTTGTTTAAACTTTTTTATCATTTGAGTTAAAATTTAAAAAAGATTTTCACATAGAAATTTTTTCTAAAAAAAATCATCTACTTATAATTTTTAAAATTTTCATAATTTAAATAATTATCATTTATTTTGAAAATTATTATTCACTCTCTCATCTTTTCTCTTCATACTCTCTGGAGTAGTATGAATTGCATGTCGAAAACATCAAACATTTTCAAATCCTTATGATATTTTTCATATTTCAACAAACATTTGTTGAGGATTTTTTTTTTTTAATTCCTAACGTTAGTTTAGGAAATGGATTTATGAACTCTAGGCTGATGTTTCAACCTAGATGTGTCGGCAAATATTACTTTATGACTTAAATAGTCGAGATTTTTTTAATATTTAATTATTTATTAATATTAAAAAATAAATTAAATTAAATTAAATGTTAATTTTTTATTTAAATAATATTTATTTTTCATATGTTTTAATATTTATTAATATTACTTATTATAAATTACATAATAAATATAATCGCATAAGAATTATTTTTTCATAAAACTCTTTCCCTTTTAAATTTCTAATATAAGAAAAAAACATAAAAATAATAACAAAGTCAAATTTAACTATACTCATATAATTTTATACCTTAATTAACCCTCAAACCTCAAACCATTATTTATAACAAGTGTTAATTGTTTAAAAATTGAAACTCAAAAATCTAAATGAAAGCTTTAGATTCAACATGGATAACTTTAATATAAAGATATTGATAATATTGGTTCTATCTTTGTTACTATTTAAAATAACATATAACATAAATATATGTAAATTAAAATGTTAAAAAAATATTTCTAATAAATTCAAAATGTTTCTAAAAATAATAAAAATAAAATATTTATTTTTTTCAATTAGATTGGTTTACTTATAATAGACCAACCCCATTCATAAAAAAATGGGTCTACCTTTTTCTGCCATCATATTTATTTTTTATGGCCAACACATTAGATTTTTTTAGTCTTCATTTTTTTTCTTTGATTAGTTTCAATGATACCGTTTAAATCAATACTGATGGTGCTTCAATTAAAAATTAATTCAACTGTGTTTTGATGGTTTGATCAGGTCTTAATTACACGGGTGATTAGGTTGGGAGTATATGTATTCGAATATTGCAAATGAGCAACAGGCTTTCGATAAATTTGCTGCATGCTTGGAAGAGATCTCTAATTTGAAATTAAGTTCATAATTAAGAGAAGGTAAGTTGTAGCCAAAGCCCAGAGGTTATGGCATTTCAAAAGGTTTTTGCTTATTCGTTAAGCCAAAAAGCCTATTTAAGTCCAGTAGTTCACAGTATCTTTTCCAGGCTCCATTCGTCTCTGATGTGATTAGTCATCATGACTCATGATTTTATTGCAATTGCCAATGCCTCACGATTTCGGTGATTAATCATCATGGCTCATGACTCAATGAAGTTGTTTCTTAAACAAAACGTCATAATAGTCATTCACATAATAAATGTTAATTGTGTCAATTAAGGTATATGTATCACAAAAATAACATAATAAAAAATTTAATAGGATATATAAGAAACTTTTAAATTTGCATCAATTACGATATTTTATTTAAAAATAATATTGTAATTGAATTAAAAAATTAAAAATTAATTTCAAATTTAATTTTAAAAAAAGTAACATAGATGTGATAAATTTTTAATTCAAATTAAATTTAAAAATAAAGTAAATTTTTTTTCAAAAATCCTAAAATATCATAAAAATTTTAAATTTTAAAATTTTCAAAATTTAAAAAAATTATATTTTTATTTTCTCCAACCAAACACACTTTTATTTGTTATTTAGATTGTTCTTTAGCATGTCGTACTATACATATGAAATACTGTACAACATTAACAATAATGGTTTCAAAGGGTAAACGGAAGTTCATGCTAGATAGATTTTGGAGGGTAAAAAAATTTATGATTTTCCATTTGCACTTATTAAAGAAATGAAAAACAGTCGGTCGTGGAGTTTCACTTGGGATGGCTAAAGCTGCAGATCTCTTTGTGGATGTAAAGAATTTTCGAGCTATGTTTGGAGGAAGTTGGTCACCCTGGATTCATGAAAGGGTAATGATATCATAGCATTTAGTAAAAGTACTGGAAATTACAGTAATTTTTTGTTGCCAAAATAAAAGAATATATATTCCATTTTCACTTAAAAAAAAAAAAAAACTTGCCATATGGGTACGGACTATCTTTGTATTCTATATAGATCGATAGAGATATTCAAAGTTTAGTCATAAAAGGAAAAAAGAAAAAATTGTATAAACCTTCAAAATAATTTTAATACATTAAATTATTAACCACTATGAATTTCGGCTAATTAATGTTTACATTATATTTGGACTGTGAGTAGGAGAAAGGAAATGAAAGCAAGAGAAAAATAAAATTCTTTTTTTATTTAGATAAAATTTAAAATTAGATAAAAAAAAAAGAGCAAAATTGAGCAGCTTTGGTTTCTCTTCAAAAACTCAATCATTTTTTTTTCTTTTAAGAGAAGATATAGCCTTTACAAGATAAAAAAAAAAAAAATTTCGACTCAAAATCAGAATTTTTATATTTTATAAAATATTTTTAACCACTACATCAAATGATGAAGAATTAACCAATTTTTTTCTTAAAGCAATAAATATTCATACTTTTTAAAATATTTTATATAAGTATTTATCTTACTATTGCATCTAATTAGATTCTTAAAATATTATTTTTGTTTAATTAAATTATTTTTTATATGAACATTAATTTGGCAAAAATAGTAAATTTTTAGTAAATTTTATGTAAAACAATAAATTAAGAACTCAATAAAAAGAGAAGAGTTTAGTTGAAAAGTTTAAGAAAGTAGATGGATTTTTTAATATTTTAGTTCAAAAGCAAATAGCTGTACTTTCGGCCTATAATAATTGGCCCAATATTCAGGCCCATTATTAAGAGCCAGCCAGCAGCCCATAAGTCCAGAAGCTTCTAAAAATCTATTCCGACATCTCCGCAAAATAGTAAAGTGAATGATGTGATACGTGGCTCAGGCTGCGTGAACTCAATCTCTTTGCTCTATTTTTAGCGGCGCAGCAAAACTGTTAAACCACTGAAATCCAACCTAATTAAAATCGCTCTGTCACGCCACAGTGTCCTGCTTTGGCCGCCTCTCCAAAGAACTCGCCTGTCGCTAGCAGCTGATAAAAAATAATTTAAAGAAAAAGCCGATCGCCTCCTCTTCCGACAATGGCGGAAGCTCAAACCGAAAAACCCCCTTCCCTATTTGAGGTACGTTTTTTACTCATTCTGTTTTATAATTAAGTTTCATTTCTTTGAAAGCAATAATCGTAGTAGTTTATTCTTTCCGATTTTGTTTATTGCAATTGTTGAACTGTTTTAGATCTTCAATTTTGATTTTTTTATGGAATGTAGTTTAATTGGATTGAAATGAGCAGATCTGACCGAGTAGTTCTGGATATTATTAATGAAATTAGAATAATTTGGTGAGTAGAGCATATCAGCTTTTTTAAGTTTTGAGATGGTGCTTTTGATTAAATTTTGATTGTTTATGCTCGTTATTAAATATAAATAACATCCAATTTTCTTGAGAATCATCATGAACATGTGATTAACATAATTTATTGCAACTTTTGTTTTCTAAATTAACTCAATGAAGTTACTCTATGATTTGCCTTATGATTCTAGCTATCTGAGTTTGCTGTTCACAAATGTCGGCTTCCCAAGAGGCTTCATTAATGACGGTCAATGAAACGTAACATTTGGAGCAAAAGTTGATTGGGTTTTTTCAGTAGCTGTGGTGCTTAATCAAACAACTAATACTAAAATATGGATCAAATAAAATTTATGCTCAAAATTTCCAGTGGCTTAAGAATTCAAGCTTTTGACTAAGAGCAGGTTATAGTTTTCACTGGTCTTGCGGCCATGTCAATTCATATAGTAGCGCTGTGTGAAAATTGCTGTTTAGGAACTAAAAGCAAATTCATTTATGAGTATTTTGTGTGAACAATAATGTTCATCAATGTTTTAGAATGATGAACTGGGCTTTCTATCTTCTTCTTTCAAGCTTGTTGTTCCTTCTTGAACATTCCATTCATGCTTAAATTTAGCTAAGATACAACCTTGATTGCAAAGTTTTGGTATTGATAACTTCAATGAACTTCCTATATATCATGCTTGTAAAGCCTTTTGTATAGCTGAGCTGGTACTAAGTTCTCTGATACTCTGTGTGTGTGTGTGTGTGTGTATGGTGAGGGTATTTATTTGACCTGATTATGCTGGAAGCCTATTTATTATTTTCTTGAATGTTTGGACATTTAGCAATATGCGCTGAAGGAGAAGGAGGAGAAATCAGATGTGGCTACAAAACCAGCAGAAGCAAAAGAGCTTGAAAATCCAGTGAATGCTGCTTCTGGGGAAGTTGTCACTGAGAAAGTGAAGGAGACTTCTGCTTCTCCAGTTGAGGAAAGCAGCGAGGCCCCTCCTGCTGCTGCTACTGAAGAAAGCACTGAAGATAATTCTGATGCTGAGAACAGTGGTGAAGATGCTCTCGCTGCTGCAGAGGAGAACTCAGATGATGCTGATGAAACACCAGAGATAAAGGTTGCCCTGCTGAACATTTTTATTAAGAACTTCATCTTTGCTGCCTCCAGATTCTTTTGTGTATATGAAACTCATCTTTACATGTTAGATTGCTTCACTAACATATGAGGTGCATGTTTGATATTCAGCTTGAAACTGCCCCAGCTGATTTTCGCTTCCCAACTACAAACCAAACAAGGCATTGCTTCACACGATATATTGAGTACCATCGGTGAGTTATGAATTTTTTTGTATCTTATAAACGTATAAAGGTCTTTCAATGCTCCTTGATATATCTTTATCCTTTTGTCTTGTGCAGTTGTGTAGCTGCAAAAGGAGAAGGTGCTCCAGAGTGTGATAAGTTTGCCAAGTATTATCGCGCCCTATGTCCTGGAGAATGGGTGTGTATTTTCTCCTATGAATCACATTACACTCCTCTTCATCATAATTAGTTGCATAATGGTTTTAACTTTTGTTGGATGGCTGTTGTTTGTTGCTTTTTATTATGTTTGTAAATCAGGGAATACCTTATGACCCCTCATCTTTTTGAGAAAGGGATTTCTAAGTTAACTCTAAATGTGATGACCTATTTGGGTTGCCTGCAGCAATGAACATGTTGAAGGACATTCTTTTGTCAAGAAGTTTAGGGTTTAATTGGCAAAATAAGGGACTTAATTGGTAAAATTTTGGTTTGAAATTTGTGACAGAATTGGGTTGAGAGGATATGATGAAGGGAATTAGATTTGGGTTTTCGATTGCATCCATGCCTTAGGAACCCAATCAGTCTTCAGTGTTACTCAAGTCCTATAGGAACCTAATCAGCCTTCAGTGTTACTCAAGTCCTACTAAGATGCGGAGATTACACAGGAAGCTAACTAATAAATACGTAAAAATAGACTTAAATTGGGAGGAAACATATGACTTTTAAAAGCTACCACAAACCCTGAGCTTAACTAAAATTCCCAAAAGACAGACCTAAAGTTCAAATTTTAGGTGATACAGGAAAAGAGAAGTCTGTTCTCGGATGGCTCCAACTAGTCTAAAAATATGATATAGTCCATTTTTGAACTGGTTTTTGATCTAAATCTTATAATTGATTCTTTGGTTGAACTAAAATTACCGAACTAGGGAAGATTAAATCTGGTTCCATGCTTCCTTGTGTCAAATTGGTCCAGTACTGGAGGTCCTCGGATGGTGCGTTGTCAATTGATCTGGAGATTTTTGTTAAAACCTAACATGAAGAAGAATCAAAATACAAGGCAGCTGAAAACAAAGAGGCAGTAATGAGAATGTTTTGTTTTGCTTGCTTGATTCAATATCTTTTAAAAGGTATTTACTAGAGATAATTGGTAGTTTGATTCTCATTTTTTCGAGGTGTGGGAAAATGTTGTGCTTTCATCAATCCATTCTTCCAACCCCAGTTTACACTATTTGAATGAGTATAATATGTTCTGGATTCTGCGGCTGAAATTATAAAGAGATGCCTGCTCTGTAGTTGGCTGCATGTACTAATATTCTGTCTATCTTCACATGTTTGTAGAATTTCATCCTTAATTTGTTTATTTACCATTTGCTTTTTAGGCTGACAATTACTCTTGTTTTTTCAGATAGACCGATGGAATGAGCAAAGGGAGAATGGTACTTTTCCAGGTCCTCTGTAGATGGTACCTATCAGAAAACCATGTTGTGGTTTTCTTCTGTTCTATCACCAGTTAACCACAGATGAATTTCATGAATGAAAGGAGAATTTTCGGGAAATAATAAGAAAATTTGGCATTTATTTAAGACTAGATCAAGGATGATACAATGCGGTGCTCATAAAAGAAAGTTATTGATTTGAATTCAAAAATTTAAAAACTAAAATATTTTGATTTGGTGTGATTTTTATCTTAAAACCAATCCAATCTCACAAGAAAAGTTTCCTCTAATGACGTTGGAACAACAGTGTTTGGTTGCTTTTTTTTCAGCTCTAATAAAAAAAGTTGCGCGTATATAGATAGTAAAAAACCAATCTAAAGCGGAGATTAGAGAAACGTTACAACTAAAATGAATTAAATCTTACACTAATTAAGCCATTGCTAACTGTTACCACGATGAAACCCTTTCTTCTTTTCTTGTGTTCATCATATTCTTTTGCTTCATACGATATGCAGGTTACTTTCTGAATCCATAAAAATAACAATCACCACACCTCATCATTGTCATCGGAAATACGTTTAGTTCTTGGATGAGGTCTCTACGTCATTTGTAATAGAAACCGTCGATCAAACCATGCGGCTCGCAAGGATTTTTGACCGTCAAAGTTTTTTATTTTCTAATTTCCATGATCATGAGAAGACACAACGGATCAAACCAAATCTATAATTAGCTTTAACTTTTTATGGCATCAAAATACGACTAAAGCCACCTAAATGAATATGAATCAAAGTCTAATTAAGGGTTTTACAGCATCCGAATTCGATGAAATCCACCCTAAATTGTGAATACTTGAGCAAATATCACAAGTACAAATCAGCCTATTACCACATTCTAGAGCAACAATCAGGCTTTGTAGAGAGTGAATTAAGCCCTTTCACCACGAATCCTCCTGGCAAGTTGAATGTCTTTGGGCATGATTGTAACACGCTTAGCGTGGATAGCGCAGAGGTTGGTATCTTCGAACAATCCAACCAGGTATGCCTCCGCTGCCTCTTGCAACGCCAACACGGCATGGCTCTGGAAACGCAGATCAGTCTGCAAACCACAAAGGCCAATATAAAATCACCCCTTAATGAACAAAACTATACATATTATAAACTCAATTTTCAAAGTTTGATTCAAATTTACTAGTATTACCTTAAAGTCCTGGGCAATTTCACGCACAAGCCTTTGGAAGGGCAGTTTCCTGATGAGAAGCTCGGTACTTTTCTGGTACTTACGGATTTCACTGCATCCAATAGAAAATCCCAAATCAAACTCACGTAAGAAAAGAGTGAATTTTTAGGGGAAAACAACCAGAACTGATTCGATGACTAACCGAAGAGCAACGGTTCCAGGGCGATATCTGTGAGGCTTCTTCACGCCCCCGGTTGTCGGAGCCGACTTGCGAGCAGCCTGAGAAGACAAAAGAAAGGGTTTTCTTTACACCAAACGAACAAATAAAACAAACCGACGAAAAATTTGATAAAATCGAATAATTGAAGTACAAAGAAAACCTTAGTAGCAAGCTGCTTCCTTGGAGCCTTGCCGCCGGTAGACTTACGAGCAGTTTGCTTCGTACGGGCCATCTAAATTGACCATATCAAATATAGTTAAATTCCCCAACAAAAAAAATAGAAATTCTCTAAATTTCTACGAAATTTCTTCATAAAGCTTAAAATAATCAATCAACAGAGAAAAACAAGAAAAACTCATAAAACCGGGAAGTTAAGACGCTCACCTTAAATTTTTTTTCTGTGTAAAACGAAAGCTAAGGACGATAACGAGATAGATTTGGAGAGGAGAGAAAAGTCTAGGGCACGACGCGGAAACTTGGGAGGCAAGAATCTTATATAGGGAAGAACGTGAAGTCTTACGCTTATTTATATGAAGCGTGGACAAAGAAAACGTGACTGATTCACATTTGGTGTTGGTCAAATTGTTAGTAATCGGACGGTTAAATGTTCTGCCTGCTGTGTCTCTTGGAACCTCGATGAACGGCCTAGATGCCCATTTTAAGGATGTCTCCTGGATCAACGTGGAGACATACTAGCTTCCTATTGGTCCACAAACTTGAACTAGGCGGTTTTTTCTCAAAACTTCGGCTCACCGCGCCGACATCCAACTACGTCGTCGTTTATCTCAAACTGGAATAAAAAGTGGCAATGGAAACGGCGGCGTTTGTCACTGTCCTATAGAATCTATTCCTGCGAGACAGAAGAACACGTGTTTAGACATGATTGGTCAAGTTAACCTAAAATTGCTTTTTTTTTTTTTTTTGCAGTTTTTTAATTTCTACGAAAGAAGATAACTTTAATAGACAGAGTCTCATATCATTCAAGCTGAGGCGAAAGCTATGGCGTTACACTGTCATTTAAGCGGGACGACAATCCAATCCCTAAAAGTGGCTACGATTCCAATCTCATCTTCCTCGCCACGGTTCATTTTCCGTTCACTTCCCAAAACCCTAAACCTCACTTTATTTTCCCGCCACAGTCCACCGAAAACACCGCTTTTTACTCTTCTCATTAGAGCCCTTTCAGCCCCGGCTGTGGCTACCTCACCCGCCGCCGAAATTTCCGATGATAAAGGTAATTACATTAAATTACTAATCTTTTCTTAACTTTTTTTCTATTGCTGATATTTTAAATTTTTTTTGTAGTTGTAAAGCCGCAATGGAAGGCTGCTATAGATTTCAAGTGGATAAGGGATAATAAAGAAGCCGTTGCTGTTAATATTAAGAATAGGAATTCCAATGCAAATTTGGAGCTTGTCCTTGAACTTTATGATAAAATGTTGAATCTTCAAAAGGTTAAATTTTATTTTCGTTTTCTGCTTTATTAATCTTCAAAATGACTGTAATAATGTGAAAAAGAATTTTTTTTAAAAAAATTTCATATTACTTAGCTAATTTTGCTGACAGATTGCAGGAAGTTGAGCGGCTTCGAAGGGAAAGGAATAATGTTGCAAACAAGGTGAAAGGCAAATTGGAACCTTCTGAGCGTCAAAAGCTCATAGAAGAAGGTATTGCTCAAAATGTATTACTGTTTCTTGGTTTCATTTTTGTGGTTTAATTGTTTTGGTTTTGAAAATGCAACTTGTTTTTCACGGTTCTGTGATTCAGGAAAGAATTTGAAGGAAGGACTTGTGACTTTGGAAGAAGACCTTATCAAATTAAGTGATGAGCTTCAGCTTGAAGCGCAATGTATACCAAATATGACTCACCCGGCTGTTCCAATTGGAGGGGAATATAATTCAAACTTGAGGAATATGGTATCTTTGTACCGATATTGCTTTGATTAATTTCTCGCATTTAAGTCATTATATGTCATCTTTCTGGTGTTTTCATAGCGCTTTTATGTTCAATTTGTATTATTGTAGGTTGGTAGCCCCCGTACATTTGACTTCCCTGTCAAGGATCATCTTCAAATTGGGAAGGAGCTAGATCTATTTGATTTTGATGCTGCTGCAGAGGTATTTCTTCTGTTTGGACTGGGAATTAAAGCATCTCTAATTTGTTGACGTGTTGTATTAAGGGTTTTTATTGGTAAATTAAATTAAATTCGGTTGTTGTTTAACTGTGAATTTTAGTTGATTAGTTGCTTTCATTACCTATGACCAATTTGGGAAGCTTGACCTTCTGTAGGTTATGACTGCACTATTTTCAATTAGATAATGAAGATACTGAACTGAGTTGCCTCTTGCAATTTGTTTCCAACGTTGCAATCTGAAAATTTATGGGTGTATAATGTGGCACTGGAGTTTCTAAACTCTGCAACTCTTATGAAACCTTGTTATATAACAAAAAAATTCTTTACTTATCAAATTGGATGATATACCACATTTCATGCTTTAAAAATCTTTGCCTTCCAAATGACAAGGGTGCTAAGGTTTACTTATACTGGTTGTTGTCTAGGTAAGTGGTTCAAAATTTTACTACCTGAAGAATGAAGCAGTGATGCTGGAAATGGCCCTCGTGAACTGGACACTGACAGAAGTCATGAAAAGGGGCTTTACACCACTGACAACACCGGAAATTGTCAGGTCATCTGTTGTTGAAAAATGTGGCTTCCAGCCTCGTGGAGAAAATACGCAGGTTTGCATATATTTTGGTTGTAGTTCCTTTTCCAGAAAATAAGTGGTAGTTGCTGTATTAAATATCAAGTGCCTCTAACAGTTTCAGATAAGAAGGGTATCATTTTGGGACAAATCACCAGTCAAAGCTGATATCAAACTCAATGAACCACTTTGATCATGAAATGGATCAATAGCTTGGATTCAGCTTGAATTGGGGGCTACTAACTTTTTATTCAACTTTTTGAATCTTCACATTCTTAATATTCTGATATCAGAATACTTAATTTCTTCAAAGAGACTCTTGCAAAGTTGGGAAGTTCATGTTAATTTAATTAGTATTTCATGATGATTTCTTGATACTTATTTCAAATGCTAAACAGGTTTATTCCATTGAGGATACTGACCAGTGCCTCATTGGCACCGCAGAGATTCCTGTAGGGGGAATTCACATGAATTCTATTGTTGCTGAGTCCTCATTACCCCTAAAATATGTGGCATTTTCCCATTGTTTTCGTACTGAGGCTGGCGCTGCTGGCACAGCAACAAGGTGATTAGCTACCTTATGTTTCATTTTTATTTTACCCATGTATCAACTATAATTCCTTTGGTAATGGTGAAATATGTTCTTTTATCGAAGTCCCTATTCTACTCTACCCTACCCTTGACCCCCCCCCCCCCCCCCCCAACCCCACTAGCTACAGGACTTACCTTGGCTGCGGAGGGGAATACACCTCGAACTTGGGTAACCCTCCAAATGCTGAACACCTCATGCTGCTGACCCAATTGGTCGTTGGTGTGAAGAATGTTCTTAAATCACTGAAAAATCCAAAGTTCTGAATCAACTAACTGGTGCCTTTTTTTACCAGGGGTCTTTATAGAGTACACCAATTCAGCAAGGTGGAAATGTTTATTTTATGCAGACCAGAGGAAAGTGATATGTATCATGAGGAGCTTATTAAAATTGAAGAAGACCTCTTTTCGTCTCTAGGATTGCATTTCGTGTATGGACTCCCATTAACCTTAACTAACTCTATTGTTTTGTTATGTTATTTGTGACAATCTTTACTTTCTTGGCAGATCTTTAGATATGGCTACCGGGGACCTGGGTGCACCTGCATATCGTAAATTTGATGTGGAGGCATGGATGCCAGGTTTAGAACGCTACGGTGAGGTATTGAAATAACCTTTTGCCTACCTATTACAAGTTCAATTATTTTTGTCAATTTTACCAGCTGTGATTTTTTTTTTTTTTGTCAATTGAAATAGCCTTGAAGTATGAAATAATTCTGTTTGTTGAGGAAAACAGTTGAACATTTTGAAATATCTTCGAATCTTTTTCTCTTAGGATAGGAAATACCTTTGAACCTTTGGTGTAACTCTTATCTGTAAACAGATATCAAGTGCATCAAATTGTACTGACTATCAAAGCCGCCGACTGGGCATTCGGTATCGTCCATCAGAATCACCCTCAACAACTTCCAAGAAGGGTAAAACCAACCTTGCTGCAGCCAGATTTGTTCATACATTAAATGCAACAGCATGTGCAGTTCCTAGGATCCTCGTTTGTTTGCTGGAGAATTTTCAGCAAGAAGATGGCTCGGTTATTATTCCACATCGATTAAGACCATTCATGGGTGGGACTGAACTTATATCTCCTAAATCTAGATGAAACGGATTCGTGGTAACAATAATCCTCTCATGGGGGTATTTTCCATAAGTTTAGGCATGTTGTAGTCTCTGAAAAAAGAGAAAATGGGAAAAGACATAGAAAGTTTATGTTGGAGGAAAAACAAAGAAAAAACTGAAAGTACATTTTTTCCAAGAATTGGAGAGTGATTAATATTTCTGAGGTTTTGTTGAATTTGATTAAGCCTTTGATGCATGCATGTTAATGATTGATGGTTCAGGTTTGAACGTTAGCACCATGAGTTGTTATGATCGAATTGGTGAAACAGCTTGTCAGGTTGCGGACTTAAACAAGCTGCCTTGACAATCGTGGCTGACAAGTTACAACAAACATGTTTGCAATCAGGTTATCGTATGATGTGGAGTTAAAAATACTCAAATTTAAGTGTCATTCTTTACCTTCTAACATCTACCTGATGGATGAACAAATAAATTTATAACCCAAAGGCTGATAAGAATATTTTCAACTTAGAAAATTTGTTGCCGGAGTGATAACCAGGCAGGTTCGTGTACTTCTCTAGATAACAGTGATTTGCTTCTGCCTATAATTTGAGCTTGCTCAATTCAATCTTTTTGACTGGATACGTGTATGCCTCATAATTGATTTGCTGGCCAAGGCAGCTTAACTTTGTGAGCGTAGTTATCAGATCAACCTGGAATAGAATCAATTTTAACCGGAATTAATATATGAAAGGAAAATTGTAACAAGGAAATATAAAATATATTATTGTAATTTCTTAACCGCAGCCCTCTGCTTAAATATTAGCAGGTAGTAATTCCAATTTTCCAGGTACAAGGATGAAGCTATTACAACTTTGAAATGGAAAAGGAGAAATAATCAACTAACCTCATAATCTGTCTGAGACACTGTTTCTCGGCTACGTTGGTATTTCTGAACCCATGGAGAAACATCGGGATCACTGATCAGTAGGGCCTCTGTTGCATTCTGATCAGGACCCAGGAATGCAGACATCACGGCTAGCTGATCAACCATGAGGAGAAAATAAATGACTTAGATTAGGGTGCATTCATTATTGTGACCAAAAAAAGTCTACCCGCAATTCAATTATTTATTGCCTTCTTTGTTCTCATTCTTATCTGAAAAGGCTTGAAATGCATGCAATCACATGCACATTAGGAAAGATTAAAGCACCCTAGAATGACACGTCTAGCATGGACATAGCCACATGGGTAATGTAGAATATTAAGTCTAGTGGTAGATGAAATGTGTAACAAAGCAGCAAAAAAAAAAGCAATGACTTAAAAGAGATAAAGGCTGTTGCACTCTGAAGTGAAGCAGAGTTCAGGCAGGAGATCAAATTTATGAAAACGTTGAACATGTCACAATCACCATTACTCTTTCACATTCACTTATGGTTTACTCGTATGACTAGAAGCATGTCTTTCGGGGTGCTTTGTTCAATTTATAAGCTATAACTTGGGTGCATCACATAGGGTTTTTAAAAACTAAAGTGACTGATGAAAACGTAATTGAGGCACTACCTGACGGGGGCCAAAGCCAATTGCTTTGAACTTATCTTTCATTTCCTGCACGCTTGCTTTCTCCCACAGGGGCACTCTTCCCTCTGGATCTGGCTCTTCAGTATCACTTCGTCCAAACTGCCTATCGAACAAGCCCCACTGTTGGCACAATATAACAGAATCAGAATCATAGTGATTTGCCAACTTGAATCACATTTAGTCCTTAAAACCACAAACATGAGGCAGGAAACACCAGTAAGGGAACAGATGCTAAAGACCATGGGACTGCTTGAGATGGCATGCTTTTTGTGCATTTAGGGGTCTTCAACAGATGATATAATTTTGGCTTAAACAAAAACAATAACTGTACAACATAATAAGAAAAAGACCTGCCCATTTGAACCGTATGCTGCGTATAATATACTTCCTTTCTCTTCATTCCCACCACATTTTCGAATAGCCGCTGCTAGAAAAGTAGACTTGACGGCACCTTGAGCTATACAGAATAAACAAATGCTTTATCAGGTGAATTAGCATTACCTGTTTCTCACATAATGGAACGCTCATGCTAGATGGCCATGAAAAAAGGCATAAGTTTAACTTGAAATATCAAGCGTTTATGACATATCACCTGCATATTGGATGAGATCTGCATATGAAATTGGTCCACCCTTGGAATATGAATCAATTTCTTTCTTGGCTTCATCTAATAAACTCACAGCAGCAGAAAGTCCCTTATTTTCAGGCCTGCTTAACTCTGAGCTTTAGGCAAGAAAAAAGAGAATAAAAAATCAAGTTAATACTTGAATAAAAAGCTAAACCAATAATTCAGTTGAGTCACACTAAAGGGAAGGTTTAACTGTTAGTAACTGAGAAGAAAACCTGTTCATTAGTAGTAAATTAGATTAAATCGGCAACCATAATCTCCAATTTTTTTTGCGTCGAAATTTTACACCTTAAAGTAAAGGAATCCTTATGTTATCTATTCATCATGCTCAAAGCAAGAAATGGGTCAAGAGTAAATATTATAAACCATAGTGTCAATACACTAAGAGGCTGCCTTGAAAAGAGCACTCATCACTTGCCCTCCAGTGGAATATTCTACAACCCTCATCTGCAAATTGTTTGCACAATTAACCTCTCTGATTTCACTTTATATATTTGTAAAGCATAAATAATGACATATCTTGCATAGTTCCTCAGCACAAACTCATATTTGGGATAATGCAGCTTGTAAAAACTAGAAAACATGACATACCTGAAGCGTATGGATCCATTTGGGCCACCAGATTTTGTAGCCTACAAACTTAAGCAGCAGAAAGTTACTATTTTCATTTCCTCTTTTTTTTTTTTTTCCATCTCATAGAAAAAAGTGAAGATAAATCATAACATCCACAAAACCTCTAAAAACATGTCTTGTTTATCTGACCTTGTCATACGTCATAGCATCATTCAGTGCCAAAGTTAATATAGAGGGAATAAGATCTGGATTTCCCTGAAATTCATATTTGAAAGATAACATTAAGATAATGAACATTGCACGCATGATGAACTCAATGCTAATCCATAACTTTAAGTCCACAAACACAAATGCCAGACTTTACTTTTCAGGCTCTTGAAACCATGACTTCTTTACATTTTCCAGAAATGTGGACCAGGAGCAGGATAGAGAAATATACCTTTATAGCTTTAGACAGGGTTTCCTTAATACTTGCTGCACAATAAAATTTTGAAATACAATTTAGAGTACTGTAGCCAGTTTAAAGTTGAAACTGTACTAGAAACAAGAGAACTCACAGAGAAACTCAGAGCGCTGTCGTCGTTGTATTAAATCAGCGGCACTTGCCATTTCAACCCATGATCCTGAGCTTGCTAGTAATTCCTAAAGACAGAACAAAACTGGCAGAAACTTATCGCCACATCGTTCTAATTCACGGAAGCACACATTCATCGTATGGCACGGTTGATGGAGAATTTATTGTTATATATCTACTTACATGGCTTTAACGGTTTAAAGGCAAAGAATTTACAGTACGAACTAGTAGTCATTGGCTTCCATTACCAATCTCAGAATCGGGGGTGACTGGTGAGTGTGGGATACGGGGATGTGTTTGACATGGATACATTCAATTTTTTCTACATTTTCGCATATATTTGAGTGTCTGACCTACACACCATATCTGTCGGATATTTGCTGGACACTGTATTTCAATGAAAATGAAAAGCCAGAACAACATAGAGTTTCCAAATAGAAAAATGGTAATTCTCGTAATTAATTGGATGAAGAACAGTAACAAAAGTCTTAAGGCCATAAAAAGGCCGTTAAATTTTTTTAAAAAAACCACTATAAATTGCAAACTACAATGAATTGACAGTCTATTATGTTCTTTGAAAAATTCAGGGTCTAAATATCAATTTCTTCCAGCATCTTCGTGAATAATAACTAAAGAAAAATTGATGATGGTAGGATTACATATATAGAAAGAATTTGCTCTTACCATGCCAACTGTTGCCCCAATGCATTTGAGGACATCTCTACGATGGAAAACATATTGGCCGGAAACATGACCAGTTTCAATTTTACGACAAGGAATAGCACCCTGATAATTCAAACACATGAAAACAAGAATAAAAAATTAGACAATGAGTTGCAGTAGCCATTGGCTCAGACAATCAAGTTCGAACAACGTAGTCCATGAGTTAGCATTTCCCAAAGAAAATGTTAAAAATACTTACCGCCCGAGTGAGGTGCCTATTAGCAGCAACAGAGTTAGAGTTGAGAGATGGGACAGGGACGAGAGCAACCAAAGAAGGTGTGTTTGAAAGGAAAGAGACCCCCATTGCCTCTATGTTCCCAAATTTCAACCAGTGAAAGATGTTTTTTTTTTTTTTTTTTTTTTCCGTTTCTTCTTTGCAACTGAGTTTGAAACAGGGAAAATAAGAAGAGGATATGTGACCGTGAGTAAGGGGCCCCGAGAGGAGGGTACGTGTGGAGCATGCATGAGAGTCGATGATTTTGTGTTATCCTTGTTCCTCTCTATCTTCAATTCCTGATGGTTGATTCTTATTGTGTGCGTGGGCCGACTTCGTTAGAATTATAGCATCCGACCACTCACGGCCCTGATTGCTATTCCAAAGCCACAGAAATTAGAAACGAGTCTGCATCTGCCTTGGGCTACCCTTGGCCCAGATCTGGATCCTACATACTCTTCGGGTTAAACAACTGACCAATTACAATCGGTGTTTAACCCCAGTCCCCACGGCGAGCTCATCATGTCTAAAGCGTTCAGCACTTTAAAATTAAATGTAAATCATCAGAACTCACTTGCAGAATGCAGGGGTTGCAAAATGAAAGGGTTAAAAAGAGCAACTTTAATATGGTTTCACTATTATTTTAATCAATTGCCAAATGAAATATCAATAGATGGAAGAGAGCAATTATTTCTTGAAGATGCAGTGGCGTACAATTATAACGAGCCCAATGAATCGCCTATAGCATTGTAGAAACCTAGCAGACTTCTCAAGAGCAAGTGAATTTCCTGGCTTGGGTTTCATCCTATACATGTATCAAAATGCAGCCCCTAACCCATTGTCCTCCCCCGTCTATGTATTGAATTGGAACCAATTTCCTAAAACTAAAGATATACACAGTCCGCGTCCCCTTCTTTTAGTAGCACCGCTAGCTTGAAGATCTCCAATTGATGGATAACATTCAATAAGGAGCTACTAAACAACAACGTAGGGGATCTTCAATCAAAGCAATCGCTCTACAGAATCTCATCTATCTGACACTGATAGATGCATTCACATTCTGTGATACCCTCCTGCACAAACAATCTGGCAGCGGATTTACATAAAAGGCTTCTTCTGAACGAAACCTATCCATGCCCTTTGTTCCTGAGACAGGACCTCTTCTCCTCCTTGGAGACCCTTGCCTATACAATCCACAAAAGAAATCATAAGTTAAGGGGAAACCGAATATTATATAAATCTATACTCTTGCTATTTTAAGTGCAGCAGAACGAGGAAAATGGAGTCCCCTCCTTCCACAAGCTAGAATCTGCAGCATCTAAGCAATTAACGACAAGAACCACATACAGTTTTTTGTGGATTTCAATAATCCGATTGGAAACCTTTCTGCCTTCCTTCAATAACCCCTTCTCAATTTTGTCAAACAGACGGATGAGTCCTTTCCTAAAGGAGAGTACAGAAAGTACACCACAAACGATTAGAATATGAATCGTAGTTAAGTAACTAAAAATGAGTTGAGTTTTAGAAAATAAATTGACTCACCTGTCAGGAGAAATAGTTTTCCTATGTCCCAGAAAACGACGATGCCCTTCAACTGCTCTCGCCATGTTTCCAGAGTACGATGGAATGAAGACATCACTTTCAACAGATACAATGTAATCAAGTGCCGCCATTTGAGATGCATGATTGGTGAATGGTTCAAGCTCCTCAACAGACGCCAATTTTTCCTTCAAAATTTCACAAGATATAAGACTACATTCTAACCCCATGTTCATCCTTATTCCTTTATATTGAAAATATCAAACAAAATTATCATCACACTTTCACCAGGACCTATAGAGATGGTGTGTCCAGTTATCTGTATCTACATACATTTTTATTTGCATTCACACACGAGAAAACCATAGAGAGAGAGAGAGAGGAGACTGTACAAAACATCGCAACGATTATCCAAATAGCAACAAAAATAGTATCCAATGGTCAAAGATCTCAGTCAGTGTTAACTGCTTTCTTCATAAGTCCATTACAAAATTTAGAGAATAAAAAGGCACAACCAATCACAAGTGAGAAATACACATGACATACTTGCATTGGAAATTTTGAATGATAACTAATTTAAGAACATATGGACTAACTGGATGAATAAACCAGTATTAAAGATCACAAACAGTTAGTCTCACAATAATATTGGATAAATCACTGTGCATAATAATCTCAATAAAGCAAGGTTGACTATAACTGAATTTCCATGAATGGTAAGTTTCAAATGTTTAAAATTTTGTTTCTTCACTACTGGCCCTGTGAAAAAGTTCCCTAAATAAACCATAGCAGCATAATCAGTTGTATAAAGGAGCACCAAGCAAAGAATGGCACCACTCCCTACCTTACTCATTAAAATGGGATAGCGAGACTGTAGATCAGCCATATGAGTATCACCCCCATATATCTCTCCAGCAGCAATGTATATAGGGGTGTTTGACGGGTATCCAAGAGCAGTGAGAAAAATTCCGACCTCTTTTGGGGTTAAGGGGCAATATCCTTTGGATCTCTGCTCCCTGGCATCAATGTCCTTGATTTTCCAATAGACAGTGTTTTCTCTACACATTCAGAAAGTGGTATAACAAAGAGTTGATCACTTATCCAATTTACACTTCTCATATTGTTCTCTATATCATATCACATACATTAGAAAACAATGTTATATTGTTATACTACTCTAGCTTTCCACTCTCTTTCAACTTCCACTGGATATATATATATATATATATATATATATAGAAAGCTTGCTAACTGTTATACCTGATTGTCTTTAGCTCTTCAGCTTCAACATTAGATAAACCATGTGTGCATCCACTAAAGGCAAGCATGTCTTTCTCATACCGTAAATGCAATGCAATAAAAGGACCATAAGACCTCATTCGTTCCACCAACAACTGCAATATCAACTTAATAAGTATGATGAATATAGAAAAACATACCAAAGACTGAATTGATATTCAGGTCAAACTAATTACTTTCCCCATTGCTTCAATTTGGGGTGCAAAACGAAGTGCTTCATAGCAAGCACGACAACGAAGCTTCTGTATATCTGGAGGGAGATTGTTATTTGCTAGACGAGAATCAGATTTAGCAGCTCGAATAATCTGGTAAAAAAGGAGAAAATGAGCATTTGATAGAGTACTTTCATCAGGAAAATGAAAAAAACCAGTTGGCAAAATAATCACAATAAAGTCGACAGCAAACAAACCTGATATTCTTCCCACAGGGTAGCTATCTCATCCTGGTAGTACTCCAAACCAGACCAGCTTCTAAAATGCTTAACTACTTTGGCAGCTGAAGACAATTCCTTGGGAAGCTTTTTTATGACTTTAACATCATTAGCCAGAGAATTAATAAAATGGTCCTCATCAAAAACATCAGAGAAATTGCTGCAAGTTAACAAAGAAGCATGATATCAGTCAGAAAGAAACTCAGCCAGAGATAGAAAGTAGTACTACTTTTGCAAAGGATATTACTTGAAGGAGAAAGGCTACCTAGTATCCTGCCAAAATGATCGTTTATCGAGTTCAGGAACTACAAGAGTGGCATTTATTATGCGGGCTACAGCTACCATGTCGCATATCTGCAATCCAAGAATGAGACTGTAGTCAGCTAAATAATCAAGAAAAACTGATATTCTATTGGAGTACATATTACAATGGCTATATTGCCAAAATTTTAATCAGTGAACTTGAACACATGTAGCCTTTTAATCTTTCAGTATCATCCCGTAACTACAGGAAATGTAATTAATATTATCATGGACAATCATGCATGTATCTGTTGGAGATCAGATATCTCAATGTCTTTATTTCCGTCAGGGACTGTGGCTGGTGACAGAATACATCACACTTGAAGGTAATTGGAACCAGTGCGAAGTTGTAGGAGTATTCGACATATTTCAACATACAAAAGAAGTAAGCCAAATTCAAAATCCCATCATAAGAGGAAGAAACCAAGTAAGATCAAGCTTATAGAAAGAAGTAGCAAACAAGCGTGCAAGTAATATAGTCCCAAAGTTTGGTAGAAGACTATGTTTCTTCCAATCAATTAATACTAACAAGTTTCACATTACCCAAGCATGGGCACCAAAATATAACAGATATGGCCAGCATGAATATTATGAAACTAGAATTCAACCATGAAGAGGAAAGAAGATACAGACCCCAGCTCGCATTTGGTTGAGCCCACCATTTGTATGAACCAGAAGGTAACCTCTTGACTCATCAGGGGCTAAAGAAACAATGATAAGTTGAAAAATCAGTCTACAAGTATTTAATAGATACCTTGAAAAGGAAACTAAAAATTAACAACTTCCTTACCTGTATAATTAGAACTAGGCTGTACGCAGGGCACAAAATCACGATTTGCAGGCGGCTTCCACAACTTTTCAAAATCCAGATTTCCACTGGCACCATTCAACTGTCAATTCTAAAGGAGTGAAAACATGAAAGATGCATGACTACTTTGCATCAATATATGTACCTACTTGACTTGAACCACAAATCCACAATCCTCATCACAACAACAAGAAGAAGCTAGCAAGCTAAATAGACGGTAAATAAATCAACTCTCCCAAAAGGGATTAAGAAGAATTTTTAAACAACCAGTCAACTCTATACTGAAATGGATTAAAGAAAACAAGAAGGACACAATGTAAAGGAATATAATCCAAGAATAGCCACTATTTTTTTTACCTTTTTTTTTTTTTGGTTTTCTTATAGTTACATTTTCTGAGAAACCAAACAGGTTATACACTAAATGAAGAGAAAACGCAAAAACCTTGTGAGATGAAGGAGGAGCTTTGGAAAGATGCGGCGGGGCCTGCTCTTTCGATAAATGGGGCGGAGCCAGCTCGTGCGTCCACTTTTTCTCTCTACTTAACTTTTGGTAATTAAATTCACGTTGCTACAAAAATGGAAAATTTTAATGAAATCAATACGCAAATCATAGCAGAAAAATAAATATTTAAAAAAAGAAAGAAAAATCCACATTAGTAGTATACCTACCAAAAGAATAAGATCAAATTTACAAAAATTTAAAAAAATTATGGAAACAAATCATGAATAAATTTTATTTTCTGGGAAGTAAAACATATAAGGCAATGGGAGAACACGGAAGCTTCGAGAGGGAAATGAAGGAAAAAGAGAAAACCCTAAATCAAAGATAGAGAGAGATACTTGAGTGAAGGTAGGGAGCTTGTAAAGATCAGAGAAGTCGGAGACTCTAGAAGAAGGGAACACGTGCACGTGGCCGGAGAGCAGTCCTACCAACGCTATTGTGCATGTGGCGCACATTAGGACCTTCCTCAGCAGCACCACCACTCTCCGCCTCCGCCTCTGCATCTTTTCTTCTTCCTCCTAAAAGAACAAAGAAAACAAGAGCACCGTTTCTTCTTCTTTTTGCTAGAAAGGAACAGCCGAGAAACAATGTCGACGCACCGCCATTATAAGGAAGCGAATAGCAGAGAATCAAAACCCCAACTCACGCTTTTTTCGGTTTCTCTTTGCCTCTGCGTTGGCGAGAGAAAGCAAAAGCCATCGGCTCTGTTTTCTTTTTTTTTTTTTTCCTATTATTATTACTATATTTGGGTTTTAGTTCTTGCCTTTGTTCTTTGTTGGTGCCTCTCTGTCGCTCTAGAGCTTGTGGTTGGCTTATAAATAAATAGAATTTTTGGTTTGTAGATATGAGGAATAAATAAAATAATTAAATAAATTCGTTTAATAATTGAAAGAGAAAATACGAGGGTAAACTTGAGATTTCAAGTTAATATAACGCTTTTAAAAAGTTATAAGATTAGTCTCTAACCGGGATTCGCTTGGTGGGGCCCAATAGTCAAAATACGTTTAAATGTATTCGTACAAATTATAAAACTACCTGAATCTCATTAAAAGAATGTAACAGTTGGGATAGGAAATTGTTTTTCTACTCATGTTTGAAGATTGGGGAGGATTTTGGCCTCCAATTGCATCATGAGTTGTATTTCAATAGCACTCCATAGGTGAGTAGTATAAAATTAAAAAATAAAAAAAAATTTATGTAATAATTTATTATTATATTTATATTGAAACACATATTTACATTTTTAATTTTAATTTTATCATTAAAATTTTAATTTTACCTCCTATCCAAAATCCAAAACTTAAAAAAAAAAAAGTATATCCCCTTATTAATAAAATGTAGGCACAGACAGTAATTTTTAATATTTGTGAATTTTGGATAAGTTATAACGTCAGTAAAATTAAACTTTTTACTCACTTACCCATTTTGGTGGTTAATGGGCCATCCAATACATGCGGAAAAATTTGCGGGTGGAATTTACTGATATTGGGTTAAGAGTTCGATGTAGTCAAAATTCTTTTACTATGTCTGAATTAAACAAATCAAAATAGAAGTAGTAAATATTAAGTAATGGATAATATGAATAATTAATGCTATATTATGTTATTCAAAAATTAATTTGGAAATGTTACTACAATTCTCTATGTTCCAATTAGCTTTCAGGCTTGTTTAAGATAAATGTTTATTATGCAATAAAATTTATGATGACGCAAACAAAAAATATGGAAGAGAGTGATGAGGTTTTGACTTTGCTCCTTACATTAATTAGTTAGCCTCGTTCATAAACTCTAAATTCTAAAACCAAAGTAACAAAGGCTGCAGAAGGAGAGGACGGGGAATGGACGGTGTGGATCTCAAGAAGAGAATCATGTGCCCCAAAATTAAGGATTTGAACGAGTTAGGAAGAAAATTTTAGATAGAAATTTTTTAATTGAATTTTGTGATTTTTTTTAGTATAAATGATTTAATTAAAATGTAAATAAAAAATTTATATTAATAAATTGATAAAGTTTAATAAAAATATTATTAAAAATATTATTTATAACATAAATTTGATTAGTATTTATTAAACAATAAAAGTGTTGTCAAATTTTTTATTTAAATTAATTATTTAAAATATATATATCAAATTTATTAAAAATTTAAATATTACATACACTTAAATATATATAATAAGATTTTTTAATCTATAAATTTTAATTTTAATTTTAATTTAATTATTTTTAATTAAAAACTGCACAAACTTTATCTAAAAATTTTTATTTAAATATTTTCATTAATTAAGAATTTATTTAATTTGCTAGGTTCACTCCAATTGGTAGAAGGGTCAAAGGAAATCAGAGAGGAGAGAGGGAGAGAGATGGACTCACGTGAAAAGGGTTATGGAGTATCAGGTGTTTTAATCTGATACCTGAGATTTATAAATAAATACAAAAACAAAATGAATGTTAAAGGACGTTGCCGTTAAGGGGGGAGGTCCAAAGAGTTTCTGGACGGAGGGATACAAAAAAATTTATTGAAGACGACGATAATTTGTAGACTCGTGGGGTTTCAGGCCTTTAGCCTATTAGGTCGTTTTTTTTGCTTCGAACAAGTTGCTTTCAAATTCCCGTGACACTTCCTCCGACTTTTGGTTCACTTTTGTTCAACGCGACTTGCTCGTTTTAGCACCGTTGAGACATCGAGGGACCATCATCTCATGGTTGTGGCAGCGCCTCCCCAGCTGACCATCAGCTTTTATCTGAAATTTCTAATCCGTGAACCAATCAAGAATGCCGTCCTTATCACATTTTTTAATTTGAGATATCAAAATTTAAATTTTAATCATTAAAATTAAAATTAAAACTTTTATATTTTATCGTTAGATCACAAAGGTTAGTAGCTTTCTTGTCATGTTTACTTTCACTATTTGTCTCGCTCAGAAACATGGAATCATGGGGATTCACTTCATTCCCCCTCCTTACCTTTTATTCTACTCGGTGTGGGATATGGCAATGCTGCTATGTTCCTCATAAAATCACCATGGAACTGACCACTTATGTTAGAAATTGGCCAAAAATGAACCAAAACAGCTTGCTTGATCAATTAGTAATGTTGCTCTAGGCTATTGGTGATTGCAAATGTTCCCAATTCTGTATTTCTTGAATGCAGAGATTCCCCCCTCATTAGCACGACTATTAATAGAGTAGCCTTTGAAAAGTTTTATGATAGATTGCTAAAAATAGTTACATACAAAATCACATTCCGTGTGTAATCGGGGTTTTTTTTTTTTTTTTTGAATTATTTTAACATTGAAATGTAAAAAAATAGATTAGAGTACAATAATAAATCATAATTTTTTAATTAATAACATAAAAATTTATGTTTAAATAAGTATTATAATAAAAAAATTTTGGTATATTATTAACTTATAATTTATCTTATTTTTTATTTTTTGGTTGGAGACTCTTAAGAGAATAGGTACGAAGGCAATGTAACTTGTATTATTGAGCCGAGTAAGTTATTATAAGCCTGATTTGATTCATGCGTATTTATATTATCTAATAAATATGTTAAAGTTAAATCATATTAAACACTAAATACATTTATTTGCAATTAATTGAATTCGTTATTATCAACAGAGCAAATGATTGATTCGATTAATTCAATAAAAAAAATATAAAAACTGACTAAACTGATTTAATCTTATAAAAAATTCGAATCAATGAATTAATAAGATAAATATTAAAATTAAACTGACTTAAGTTGGTCGATTTCATCGGTTTTACTTAGAGATATGTTACAAAATTAAAATCTACTCAAATATTCCTTCCAATAAGCGACAAAATGCCTTTCAAAATTTAGCTTGAACCATAATTTGCTAATTGCTATGCATTTATAACTTTTTTACATGCATAGTTTTTTTAACAGTATAGAGCAAAAAACAAAAGATTAAAACCTCTTTTTAACAAAATCTAAGGTCTTAATCATGTGCACCGACAACCACAAAGAAGAGAATCTTATTACTGTTTTTGCCACAATACCAATAAATCAAGAGAAAGTAGATGTTGCAAGGTGAGAGAGTGTGCGCTACGTGTTGAAGTTGCAAGGTGAAAAATCATCCTTTAAAGCTAAGAGCTTGCTGACTGGTTCCTAATGGTGTTTCACAAAGGAGGTTGAGCAACAACCGAAGAGGGGCACAAAGGTTGAGAGGGTGGCTTTGGGCTTTTCAGTCATCACTGGTGGCATCTAAAAGTCTGGCATGAATGTGAAAGGTGGGAAGAGATATGAGATGTGTCAACAAGGAAGTGTGAGGGAGAAAGAAAGGAAAATGCAGAATTTAGATTTTAAGGTTTTGTAAATAGGGTATTAGGAAAGGGTAAACGGGTATCTGTTTAATTGAAAAAAATCAAAATAATTTAAATTTAAATAATATTTTATTAATTATTAAATCATTAAAATTTGATTTTTTCATTTCGGTCTGTTTGATTCGTAGTATTCAAAACTGTAAATTGACCGAATAAACTGTTTAAACCGATTACAAAATCGATTTAATTTCTTAAACCAAAAAAACCGAATAACTTTAATTCAATGATCAGTTTAGGGTCAGTTTGTGCCGATTATTGCTCTCCCCTAGACATAAATTCATACATGATTAAGTTTTATTATTTTAATACTAAATAAATAATATGATTTTCAGAGTTTAAATAAAATTTTTTTATGTGATCTTATTTTTCAAATCAAATGTATCTTTAAACATTATTTATTTGAGTTTAAATGGAAGTTCAATTGTTGATTTTAAAGCGAACTTATTCATTTTGAATTCGATATAATTTTGATAATATTTGTTTTGAGAAATATATTAACTTAAGAAAGTTATTTTATAAGAACAAAAATTTCAACATTGAATTTGTTTTATTTTTCTGTATTAATTAACAAAGCTTTAATATTTGAATTTTATAAGGTGAAAAAGTTCATTGAATCTACTTTTTAATGGATTAAACAAAATCAAAATTTAAATTTTTTAAGAAAATATTTAAAATTTTTACTAGACATTTTGAAGTTGTCTAAAAATTGCATTAAAGGTAGATTTAAAAATTTACTATAATTCGTATACAATGAATTAGGTAATAAATTTATATGGATAGAAAGCTCTTTAAGTTTAGTTTCTAAATCTTTAAACGGTTTTTTAATTTGGATTTGTATAACTCAAGATATAATCAAATTAATAAGTATAGTGCAAAATAGGAGACAACCAACCTACTGGACAAGATCGATCCCTTTAAAAAGGGATCGATTGGTTTTTTTATCCATAATAAAAATTTTACTCTGGGATTTGAAAAAGGATTGATCATCCAGATTAAGAGATCGATCACCTGAAAAAGGATCGATTGGTACCAAAAGGATTGATCTTTTATGCCAAGAATGCTCCAATAGCTAGTTTTTCAAGCTTCAATGGGTATTTTCAACTCTAAACCATCCCTAAATGGCTAGTTTCTCATTCCTCTATAAATTGGGCATTCCAACATACCAAAAAGGTTAATAAATCAATAAAGTAAAAACCAACAAACTATATTTTGTTCTCTCAAAGAATCAAAAGTTGGTAGAACTTAAAATCTATATCTTTTGTATTTGTTGTATCTAAGCTATATTGTGTTGTTTAATTCATCAAATTTCTTTGTACTTCATTAGGCAAACACTTAGCCTTTGAGTGATGTTTTAAATTTACATTTTTATTAAGTTGTTTTGTAATTAAGAGGTGAAGTATTATCTTGAATTTGTGAGATTAAAAG